AACTGCCATCCTTCAGAGCATTTTCTCAAGCCATTGATATTTTGCTTCCTGGCAACTGTCGTCAATTTTGACTCAAAGAGACTCATAAGAATTCTTTACATATTGAAACGTTTCTTATGTCAATGGCTAAAATTCTAAACTTCTGGCCAAGACCTGCAGTTTCTGCCAACCTGCCCTCACTCTGCAACTACCCAGAGGCCTGCCAAGGACTGTCTCAACATGACAGAGACACTCATTGCCCTCAGCACAGTGAACATTCCAAAGGTTTAGCTCCTCTTTTCTAAGAACCAGGAAAGGCCAAATGTCTTTTTATGATGTCACATGAGAAAACAGAGTCTTCTTGAGGTGGGTCACTGGCCTGGAGGCACACAGCCTGCAAGTGAACTCAGACGTGCCATGTATTGTCCATGAACACTTACCATCGACATTCAATTTCCTTCTATGTTTCCTCTCATATCAAAGGGACTAAAACTTTAAAAACTACCTTTTCCCAAATCCTCATGATTGAAAATGGAGGTATAAGTCAAATTCAGCCTCTAAGGTGCACTTGTGTTTAATTCAGAAACTGGAAGGGAGATGGAGACATTATTTCTGCTGCTGTGTTGACTGATGGGTGGCCAGCAGCAGACACAGCTTCATGTGATGAAGCAGCTGTTTCTGTACCTCTGGGTGGGGCTCTGGCCATGCGACTTTGAGACCAGACTTCCAGCGGTGACTCCCTCACTTTCATTTCTCCAGCTATTCCTGTGTGTACAAGCACCTAATTCACTCGGATAAAGGCTTTTGTCCATAAGAGTTCATAGCAGTGTTATGTGTAAGTGTCCCAAACTGGAAACAATACAAGTGTCCATAAAGGGTGAATAGATACACACACTTAATGCATCCCAAGAATCAGATAGGACTAAAGACTAAAAAGAAAGAACCATGCCAAAATAATTCTGTTGAGTTAAGTAACCAAAGTCCATCTGCAATTACATATGCATGATTCAAATTTTGAAAATTCAAGAAAATGAAAATGAATTTACAATGACAGAAAGCAACTGAAAATCTCCCCAACACAAGGTTGGGGTGGAGAGGGGCAGAATGAAGAGATTACAAGAGGGCGGGAAGAGGCTTTAAAAGTAAGGGACACGTTCATTAAACTCATTGTGACAGCTTCTCTGGTGCATGCATCTGGAAAAACTCCATATGTTGTATACTTTCCACATGTTAAGCATATTATATTCAACTATAAATATACTAAAATTACATACACACACATGAAAATGGTACTTAAAGTGCAAGTTGAATAGAAAATATAAAACTCAAAAAAGTACCTAACTCTAACATAACTTTACCTTGCTCATTTTTTTGCTTGTCCAGCAGAAGGTGGAGACAGTTCTTCATAGCCTGGAGCCTTTCCCGATGACTCCTGGCCCCACCTCAGCAGCACCCACAGCCCAGCAGGGTCCACCCTCCCCAGTATCAATCCTTCTATACTCCTTCTCCCTCTGCACACTCCTCACTGGGGAGTTCGTCTGCTCCTCCATCCAGTCGAGCATCTGCCCAACAAAGGTCAGTCCTCTGCAGGCAGCTTTTTCATATACCCTCTGTTCTTAGAGGGGAAAATGGCCACTAACTCTTCCTGTCTCAGCCAAGATGTTACCTTCTCAGAAGTGCTCTGTGAACCCCAGACCAGCTGAGATACATGCTGTGTATGCACCAGAAGTTTTGGGGGGGGTTTTCATGACCTTTCCCTGGTTCATAATTAATTAATTAAAGCTGTGATTTGTATGAGAGCCTACCCCAGTTACAAGGTAAACTCAATGAGCACAAGGCCCACATGTGTCTTATTCTCTTTGGAGTTTCCAGGGACCAGCCAAGAGCCTGACACATGACAGGTGCTCAGTAAACACTATTAAACCAATAAGGGAAACTGCACAATGGGAGCTTGGCAACCTGTGTGACACTTACAGTCAAATATGTACTTACACACACTAAGGCTTTGGTGTCAGTATGAGAGGAGGCACCACATGCTTGAGGACACCCCAGGGTCAGGTATTTATTTCCTCTAAAGTCAGGAGGTAAGAAAAACATCCTATGAAAGGTTGGTCCACCCTTTATTCCCAGAAAATCACAGCCCTCCACAGACCCACCTTGTGCGTTTTGTCTCATCAGCCAGGGCCTGTGTTTTTCCTGTTCTCACAGATACCTGACCTCAAAGAAACTCTGCATCCTTGGTACTGCCCACAGAGGAAGGAGCACACCCTGACCTTGAAGAAATCAGGGAATGACTTTTCATGCCCAGAATCACTGGTCTGTGAGACAGCTGCCTGTTGCTTCTGAAGGTATCTCACCAATTCCTAATGTCCTCACTAATAAGAGAAACATTTTGTACAGGATAGGATGGGAGAACCCAGAATGTGTGGTTACTTCCATCTCAGAGGGGCTGAAGGTTTCATGAGAACCTCTCCTCCCCTAATGGAAGAACCCACAGGGCCCCTGACTGAATCACCACACCAAGCTGCTTCAGCTCCTGGGCCCTGAGAGGAGGCCAAGATCAGATGAAAGGGACAAAGATGACTTAGTTGCAATGCCACAAATGATGATGGAGACACAGCACATTTTGGGGATCAACCTTCTAGGCCAGCACCCTTTCCCAAAAGCCTCAGGAGAATATTCCCCAGGCCCTTCCTTTGAATGGTTGAAAGCAGAGAGCTCTGTCTGAGGCAACACATACCTTTGGTGGGACACTTCTTCTATCACTGGATTCATACTACTGTACACAATAACTAACCTTTCACTGGGCTCACCCTGCACTGGTCAGCATCCTGTGCAGCACCTGACATTGGTGGCAGGTCTACTGCTGAGCTCCAGGGAACAACATTGAAACACATGAAAACACAGGAAACTGAGACATGAACCTGGCTTAGGGTCAGAAGATGGAGTCTGATTTTCATCCCCTGATTCAACAGGCCTTTCTTAGGCCCTCCCTCCTGACTGCTCTGTCCCACATGCTACTCCTAGAGACTGTTAACAAAAAGGAGCTGTGCAGCGACCCTGACAAGCTCAGGGGCCACATGGCAGGCCTGGCAAGCTCAGGGACCAAATGTAAGGTAACACAATATTCTCATCAGAAATTTCTAACTGGGCAGGTGATGGCAGGTCATCGTGTCCCAGGCCTATAAACTTCATTAGCGAAGGTAAGTCTTAAGTGAGTTCTGATCCCCCTTTTTATGCCTCCTAGAGAGCGCAATTCACACACATCAGCATGATTTTTTTGTGTGCTAGACCACTATTCAAAGGCACAGACTATGGGACCAGTGTATGACACTCCACAACAATTCTTCTTACCTGGTCATCTGCATACCTTCTCTATGTCCAGTAAATATTAATTATTCTATACTCACCAATGTAAAATATTATGTTTCTCCATTTTAGACTTTTATGTAATTCTAAAGATTTCCTTGCTATGATTTCCCTCACCTCCTGAAGGATTCCATCTACCATTTTTCATCTCCTGTGATTATAATGTATAAATTAGATGTAAAACTGTCATTCTTCACAGGATTCAAGATCTGCTCTCAGGCATATGTAGTCCGTTTGGCTCAGATAAACCCATTAAATTGCCCCAAAGCTTTGAACATTACTTATGGTGACAGGGCCTGGAGCACCTTCACTCTCAGGGGTTCTGTGCTGCTCTCTACTCCATGCCTGGCATCATCCATGGGCAAGTCCGGTGGCCACAGAAAAGCCTCCCAGGCTACAATCAGAGGTTGTCCCAACACTCAGGGGGCCCAGGAACAGACCCCATAAACAGACATAGAGAGGAATGGTCTACCTAAACTCATGCCTCAATCGCCATGAAGCCCACCTGCAACTGAACTTTCACCACATTCCTTTCTTCCTGGAACATGCAGGACACATCCCACTTCAAACCCAGCACTGCAGCTCCAATTCCGAGTTCTGGTTTGGGTTCTTTGTCCCTAGAAGCAAAAGCCATCCTGATGACATTATGACACAGAAGAAGGGTCCCTTCTGCAGTTATCACCCAGCTTGACCCCTTCTCACCCCCAGAGTCGTCTCTGTGACCTGCCGGCTGGGAGGAAATAAAACCTTCTCAGAGAATCTGAGAACACAAAGCAGACAGGATTCCCAGCTGGGTTTCTGTGTCACAAACACAAGCGACCCCCATTTGGGGACACCTGGGGCTCTCTGTGTGGTGCTGACAGACACAAGACAAAGGCACAGCAGAGGCCAATGCTGGCCTGAGTGGGTCATTCCTTCAGGGACACATGTGCCCCCATCTGCCTTGCTATTGCAAGTGTATTTTACAAGCCAGGATTATTACCTTGTCCTAAATGCTTGTTACATGCAGAGTCACTGGTCCACTGCACCCGCCAAGTCAGAATCTGCAGTTTAACAAGGTCTGCACATTTTTCCTATGCACAAAGAACAGAAGAAATGTATCTACCTTCACATCAAGAGATCTAATTTTGAATGGGCATCCACACTAGCTGGACAGCTGCTGAAGCAGGTGTGTGAAGGTGGCAGTTGAGCATCACAAAGTTTACAAAGTTTCACAGATGATTCAGTGCACAGCACTGATGACATTATTGTGACAAGCTTTTTCCTGAGGTAGCTCAAAAATCTGTGCTCTGAGGGTCAATGGCCAATGTGAAGCAGAGAGGCTATGAGGGAAGCTACTGGGCACCTGACAGGGAGCTGTGGGGAATGCCTCAAAGCCAGCCAGCCCAGGCCTGTGCTCTTCCAATACAGCCTGTGAGTATGTCCTAGTGTGTATGTGTGTGTGGTGTGCAGAGGATTCAGCAGTACACAGAGAACTGAAACACAAAAGGACAGTAAACTGTTAAGAAGGCACAGGGTGGGAAAAATAAGGGCAGGGAGTGGGAGGGTTCTGGGCACAGACCCCGCCCCCCCGCCCACATGACCAAACTAGTCATCTTGCCCCAGAATAAAGCTCACTGCACAGGTAGGACACACAGCACATCAGACAGAGGTAACTATGAGCCTTACAGAACTTCATACTGGTCTCACAGAGGCAGCCACAGAGCAGACAGCAGACACCATGGGATCCCCTTCAGTCTCTACCCACAGAGGAGTTGTCCACTGGCAAGGGCTCCTGCTGGTTGGTAAGTAGGAGACAATTCCTTGGGGTAGTAGACTAAGGATGTGACACAGACACTGGCTGGGGTCTGCTGAAGAGACCACTTCTCTGAATAAGAGGGAGGGCTTCTGTTCAGACCCAAAGGTAAAAAGCAATGAAGCAGAGTAGGATGGGGAAGGGGATTTTGCCAGAGGAAAATCTTATAATGTGGAAGTGGTGAGAGGCATGAAAACCTTAATTACTATTCATATCCTATGATATTCATCATTAGGCACTGAATTAGAAAATACTGATAATAATAATAACAATTTAGATCAGGACTCCATAGTAAAACAACCAGGGATGCCAGACTTCTCTTTACCACCCACCTCAGATACATTCTAATACGCTCCGTGAGGTACAGGGCCCTAGGAAAACATTAATTTACCCAGAGTGTCTGTAGCTTGTTTCAGACACTGGAGGTACAAGATCAGACAAGACCTTGTTCATATGGAACTCATGTGCTATGCAAGAGAGAGAAAAGCAAAAATCTAGATGGGGTACCCACAAATGCCATGGAAAAACAGAGCAGAGGCAGGTCAGAAAGTGAAGACAGAGAGTAGCCATCAAAGGTGTCCCTCAGAGACACTCCTGTGTGTCCGCGTGGGTCTGAGGGCAGTGAGGATACGAGCCAGATGAACACCTAGAGAGAAATATTGAAAGAGAAAATATAACAAGTTCAGAGATGCTGAAGTAGTGGTTCCATGCCACTGACCTTGACCATGGGAGATATATCCTCACATGTAGACCAAGGCTGAGAGGTGAAGACACTTTTTCAAGATCCAGGCCCTCATATTTTTCAAGCCTTATATGTATATCAAATATTAATTCATTTATTTTTCCTTCCTAGTCTCAATATTAAACCACTGGTACACACCCACTGCTGCCCAATTCACTGTTGTGCCGACCAATGCTGCTGAAGGGACAACTGTGAGCCTACGTCTCCACAATACGCCTCCTAATGTTACAAGCTTTGTATGGTACAGGGGAGAAGGGACAATCCCCTATAACAAAATTGCAACTTTTGATATAAACCAAAAAACACATGTGAGAGGGCCTGCATACAGTGGACGAGAGGAAATAATCTATGATGGATCATTGATGTTAACAAATGTCACCCTGAATGACACAGGAAACTACACTGTAGAGGTCTACCCGGGAGGCTCAGTGAGAGAAGTAAGGTTTGGACAGCTTCATGTATATGGTGAGTGATTGCTCTCTGACCTCTGGGTGTTGAAAGGGGTGAATTCTACTCACACACAGGACTGATAATGCAGGACGCTGCCTCCATCCCCCTCTGCATCACATCCCAAGTTGGGTTTTGCCATTTAATACAGGATACACAGAGTCGAGACAAACTTCCTGAGATCTCAGTTCCCTTCCCTAAATCTAGCCCCACAGACAATCACTGCAGACAGAAGAACCAGTCTGACAGGACATACTCAGCACAGGGAGACCAGTCTCTGTCCAGAACCCTGAGCTCCTTCCCATGACCTTCACATGGCAAACAACCCTGCAGGGCTCTGTCAAAGCCCCATCTGAGGATCCCCCAGAAATTCTCACGGAACTCCCCTCCAAAGCCCCTCTCCAGGACCTTGTCCAGGGACGTTGACTCCAGGGACCTTGGGGAGCCTGCATCAGGTTTGGTTTGATCTCTCAGGAAAGGCTAACTGGGTAATGGTTTAATGGGTACCCAAGTCACAGGTTCTTGATGTGGTCACCATCAAGGGCTCAGGTCCAAGAGCCACACCTTGGCAGAAATGGAGTTCAGTTTATCAGCTGAGCCTGTGTGTGGAGAGCAAGTTGGACCATGCCTTTTAATATTAATTAGCTGAGTGTCCTGGGGAACTTAGCAAAGTTCAGGAAAAAGTCAACATCCTCATAAAAAATCTGAGAAAAGAAGATGCTCCTGGCAGCTCCTCATTCATCAGGGATTAGCCCAGGGGATTCTCTCTTGAATCCATCAGTAACAGATGCCTCTGATTTGAGCTACTCTTCTATTCCAAGATTTAGGTCAGACACTGTCAATACTTTAGTGAATACACTGACAACCTGGCAGCCAAATATTTATCCTCCTTCACTGAGAGTAAACTGAGAGTCAGGGAGATACGGTCACTAAAGCAGACTCAGAGAGAACATGATCATCTGATCTGAGTCACTGAATGTCTGTCTGTGGCCATAGCCCTGTCTTCTCCTCCACCCCCAGGCCTTAGGAGGTGTCTGTGGATTCCTAAACCAACCATTGGTTAAAATCCTTTTCAGTTAGGAACCCTCAGCTCAGAGGAATACATTCTGGTCTGGGGAACAAAAGGAAAAGAGAAATAATCTGTTTTCATTCTAGAAACTAATTACTTGCAATAACAACCCTAGCCACTGCAAAGAACAGGCCCCCTCAGGTGGCTGATCCACACCTCCTTACCCTGGACTTGATGATATTACTTGTTTCCAGTTGTGTTGGTGTCAATTCCACTATATACAAAGGAGAGGACTTTGTCTGCTCCCTCCCCACTCTACCCCTGAAACCAGCTCAGAGACCAACTTGTAACAAATACTCAGTTGCCCTTGATTGATTAGGAACAAATAAGTGGTGATTAAATGAATGAATGACTTAACTAATTAATGATCCAAAATCTCTTCAGAGCCTGGAACCTGGATGCAGATCCTTGGATTTCTGGCCATAGGGCCCAAGCTCTCTGTCCCTACAAGGACTAAGACCCTTGTCTCTCACCCTTTTCTGTTCTCCAATGAAATAGTCTTTCTTGTAATTGGCCTTAGGCCTTGGGGTACAATAATAATCATAATTTTCACATGAGGAAGAATCAAGGTTTTCCAAATTTTCTGTCTCATAGCTACCTAACCCAAATGGCCCAAAATGGTGGCATTTACATAGCTGACTGTGGACTGTGAGTGGCTGAGATCTCTGAGGAAGCCATGTGGCTCCATGTCTCAAGCCCACTCTAAATGAGTCACTTTCTCTGTTTCTCCACAGAGCTTGTGAGAATGCCCACCTTCCTATTCAGCAACATCACAAGCATAGACAATAAGGATGTTGCAGTCTTGATTTGCGACACAAATGCAGTGTCCATCCAGTGGTTGTTCAATGGCATGGATCTGCAGCTCTCAGAGACAAGGAAGCTGTCTGAGGACCACAGAAGCCTCACCATAGACCCCATCCAGAGGGAGGATGTTGGTTTATACCAGTGTAGAGCCTCCAACCCCATCAGTTATGCTGAAAGTTGGGCCCTTGAGCTGCAAGTGCAACATGACTGACCCTCAACCCCTCTTCTTTGTTATTAAATTCTAAATAAAGTATTTTGCATTATTATAATAGACTTGTTCAGAAGGTGAATAGTTCTTAAAAGATTTGCACTGAGTTGATAAATGCATAACAATGTGAGATGACATTGTCATTATTGCTGACCTAAGGTCACACCCCACCTCAGTTTCATCTCATTTGTGCCATGTCCACCTCAGAAGGAATACCAAGTCCCTCAAACAAGGCACAGTGGTTGTGTGATGATCAAAGGGAGCAGGTGGTAAGCTTGCAGGAGTCCAAGCTGTTTCCCTCCTCCAGGGAGCCGTGTACAGGGCATGTGGATACTGTGTGGATAATGGAAATGAAAAGAGGACACCCAAGAGCATAGCAACAGTGACTTCTTTCTCTCTGTTTTACTTTCAAAGTTCCTAAAGTTTTCCTGAGTATTCTTTCATTCATGGCAATAGACTTATTTGCCTAAGTTCAGTACAACTCTGTCCTCCTTGATAATAGAATATAATTGGAAATGTGTATAATGTACTAAAATTTTGGATCATATTTCCTAGTTCAGACTGATGCCCAGAGGATTAAAAATGAATTTAATGTACATAGAATTGAGTTTGATCTGATGTGTCTTTTGGTATCTCTTGGAAAAGAGGGCATTACTCAAAGCTGGAGAGACTGCAGGTGAAATGTGAGGTCCAGACTTCTAGTCCTCAAGAAGTTGTTCATACATTCTTCTTAGGTGTCATAATGTCACAGGTGGGTACAGGTTACCAGGTTCTTAGTGATCGGGACAAAGAACTGAACTGAACACCCAGAATTTATAGCAGAGAATATGGGAGCAGGCCAACTCCAAGCAGAGATTGACCCCATGGGCTGGAGGGATTTTATTCTTATAGGGCGGATCCTTCCTGGCTAGTTTTGGTGGGCTTTACTGCACAAGTACAAGTAGTTGTATTACTTTAAAGCTACTGTGCATGTGATCTCCCATGATCCTCCCTGATTGGCCACCAGGGAAGAGGTCTCCCACAGTGCTACCGAATTGACCCCCGTTTCTTCTGGGGTCACCCTGTACTAGGTTCACCTTCCCCTTTGCCAGAGAATTATAGCACTCCATGTTAGAGATTGGTGAAAAGGAAAGGAGCTATTTATTCAAGTTATACAAACTTAAGAGTAATGACTTAATGTCTTCATCAAAATCCCAAAGTCCCTTAAGACACCCACAAACACACACAGTCCTTCCTTCCTCCCCTTTGCCCAGTCTGGGGTACCGTATCTCAGGGAAAGAAATAGAAGTCAGTGGTTTAGGCAGCTCCCGGTTCTTCCAAGTAATCCATGCTCGGCTGGTGGGCCTCCCTGGGTTCCCTGCACCATCATCTGTGTTGCTGGGATCTCCAGCTAAAGCCACATGGTGGTTCTCTGCTGAAGCTGTGTGATGATTCTGTGCTAAAGCAGCGTGGTGATTCTTCTCAAGGCTTCGGGCAGAGGGAGGGGGTCTCCCTGTGCCAAAAGTGCATGGTCCTCTTTACATGGCTGCAGCTGTGTGCTTCTCTTCAATGGCTGCCAAGTCTAGGTTTAAATATCCTTCTAGCTTTACTGGGCTCCATCATTAGTCTGCACAGGGGTGGCCCCTGGTTGTGCAGCCAGTCATCTCCAAGCTCTCACACGGGCTCTGTAACTAGGGGGAGTTGCCTCCCAGTTACAACTTGGGGAGAAGTTCCTTCCATCCCCCTGGCTCAGAGCAAGGCCACAGCTATTTAACATATCTATACAACAAGTTAAAGGTTATAGATATGTTAAATGACCATGCCAGAGGTTAGCTGCAAAGGTTAGTTGCTATGCAAAACAGCTCTGAATGGCCCTGCTCCATGTGTCCCTTCCCCCAACTCACACCTGTGGGGGAGGGTGAGGACATCCTATATATCTTTCTAATATTTCCTGGACACCTTGAGTTCTGAACCCCATTACATGTCCTTCTTTTGGGGACCCTCTGGCTTCACCCTCCTGCAATAAGAAAACCTGCATCAGAGGAAACTAGGTGAATGTCAGCTCCTCTGCACAAAGGTAACTAACCAGGACAAATGAACTGACACTGGCCATGTTATAGGATCAAAAATACTCTTCTTTTTTCTTTTTTGGGGCATAGCATTTGGTCAATGGGATGGTGATGGTAGTGAGAAATGTAATATCTCTGTGGAAAACTGCTGAAGCACAGCCTTCTGGGAGATGAGAGGCAGGCCCTGTTCAGGTGGAGCTGAACAGTAAGAAGATGGAGAAATTTCTTCACAAGAGCAATGAGGGAAGCTGAGACGATACACTTTTACAAGGCTGGACAATTTGAGCAACTTACACACAGCTAATGAATCACAAGGTTTTAACTTTTCTAATCAAAGACTTAGGAGCAAAGGGTTTACACAACCTGGACTGTGCTTCAACATATAACCTCAGTCCTATTTTTTAAATGATATTCTAGAAAAATAAAACAGCCCACAAAAAAACCTCTGACCCCTTGGTACACACATTTTGATGAATCAACTTATTGGAACACACACCTCAAAAAGCTAATGAATATTTTGCTAAAATTTTCCTTTGAAATCCTTTATTAAATTTCCACCAGATAAAGACAGAAAAAAAAACCCTCAAAGCAAAGGATTCAGTTGAGTTTTCCCTTGAGCATGTCCATGCCTTCTGTTTCTGCTTCTTTTTCTCTTAGACTCTCAAGAACCCCACGAAAGTTGCACCCAGAACAGCATTGGGCAGCAGCAGCATGTCCCTGGCTCAGCCTCTAAACCTGTCTCCAAGACAGCCTCCCCTCTCACTTTGCAGGGAGCTCACAGTAGCAGCCCTGGTATCCTTCTGTTGCTGTGACTGTCCCTGCTCCCTGAGCCAGAGCAGCCTCACTAAACTCACTTCTTTCTTGTAACAGGTCTAGAAACTCAAAGTAGTTTCCCCTAGGCTCCCACTTGTTGCTCCTTCTACCTTAAGTCCTTCCTTCCTTTCACTGCCTCCAGCTTAAATAAACATACTCTCAAATACACTTAGGCTCTTCTGAAATTTTCCTGCCCAGTTCAAAAACCCACACACAACAGACTGGCCCAGGAAGTCCCATTCAGAGCCTAGTTCCCAGGTGGCCACACAGAATCTCTCAGCTATTTTGTGCCTCTTTATAAATGACTGCAAATTTGCATCTCTTTGTAAATTGCAGGCATTAATGGAGATGCAAATTGAGTCTTGGTTGAAAGTAATTTAGTTGAGTTTTTCTCCACAGTGAAGAAAGCAGTTTTGTTATGAGCTGGGAGACTTAATGTTCCCTCACAGTCACTAACCATTAGACAGGGTTCTTCCTGCACACAGGCCTTTGATTGTTATTCATAAAAAGTATTTCTCTAGCAATGTGGTTGTACTTTGTAATTTAAGACTCTTTCTCTATTCTCTTGAGATATATTTTTTTCTTCAAATATTCTTGCCAGTGTTTTGAGTCAGAGAATATCTGTCTCAAGGGTGTGGGCCCATTTCTTTAAAATTTATTCCTCCTGGTACCCCTGTGTCCGGGTCTCTGAAAAACAAGTATGAGATGAAGTTAGTTAGAGGCCTTTACAACGAAGATGTAAAATAACTTCCAGTCAGGGTTTCATGGGAAGTTCTACTTTTCTTTTGTGTAAAGCCAGTTAGCAAAGGCAGATGCATGTGAGTCCTTCTGCCATTCTTAAAATCTCCCCAGCTTTTTGTTTCTGGGGTGTTGATGTCAGCCTCACTGCCCTACTGCATGGTCTTGAACAAAGACCTTCTTGCCTCTTTAAATGTGTCTGCAGCATGTTGTAATTTGGCACCACTTGCCTGTAATGATCTGATCCTGTCATCTTGCTCATAGTGTCCATCCTCACAATATTTTCAGATTTATTTCCTCATCTGGCTACACTTCTAAAAAGAAATACTTCAGATTTTGCTTCCTCCCTTCTGATTTGGCACCTGCAGCAAAAGATGACCTGACTGCCCACATCCTGCCAGTTCACCAGGTTGCCTTGGACTGGCTTTTGTCCCAGAATCTGAAATGTATAGGCATAAAATCATGGCTGTATGAACCACATGGAATGACCATCAACAGTGTTCTCATTCTATAACCATTTTTAATGCACATTAGAAAAATAAGAACACAGAGATTTGCAAAGAAATTCTGTCTTACAACTCAATAGCTCTCATACACACACAGGTCCCTGTCCTATCATCCACCTGCAGTCCCACACTGGACAACCTTGTTTCAAGTATCCTGTGACCTTGTGCTCAGGCCAGAGATCATTGTGCTCATAGGATTTTTTTTTGTTGTTCTTCTTGTTATTCTTGTTGTTTTTACAAACTCCACGTGTCTGTCCTTACTCGGTTCATACCTAGAACTTGAAAAATGACAAATAAAACTTTTTTCTTGTTCTGTTTATTGACTGTTACTTGTGGCTTCAGGGGTAGTTTGCTGAAATCCTTGGAGACCTGGCCAGAGGTGGATTGTGTGTAAGCTGAGGTGGGCATGGACAGAGGCTGTAGAAACATGGGATCTGCTCAGAGTCAGGATAAGAAATTGTAAAGCCTGTAGTATTTGGGGGAGTTACACATTATAAAAGTTCAAGGGACCTAAGGGGCCCTTGCAGGAGGACTCTTTTAAGAGGCTCGAAATGGGGCTGAAAAATATAAGGGAGGGGCTGACCTACCTGTTCAGGGAGGAGCCACTGGAGCTGGTGAAGTGAAGGGTGGGACAACATTTTCACAGAGGTAGATGTGGATGAAAAGTGAAGCACAGGGTTTGGAGAAAGTAAAATGTCTTGAGGACTCAGATTAGTGCCCTGACATGGAAACAAATGGGAGCACCAGATGCACAGGCTGGCAATTCCACGGGACATAACCCAGTACATGAGACAGGAAACAAGAAGGAGAAACACACAGAATTCCGATTGGTAGTTTCCAGGGGCTGGGTGCTAGGGGAATGGGAGGAAACCACAGAATGGCTACAGAATTTCATTTAGGGTAATGAGAATGTTCATACCATGTTCATACTTGGTAGATATGGTGGCTGCAGCACATTGTGGCCACACTAAATGCCACTAAATTGTTTACTTTAAAATAATTGATTTTTGTCATAGGAATTCTAATTCACAAAAGCAATTTGAGAAATAAGCAAGACAGGACAAAGGATGTACATGTAATTATGTTCATCCAAAATCCTAGGAAATGCAAACTACTCTATTGAGAAAGACAGAGGATGAGTGACTGCCTGAGGACGGTTGGTGTTGGGTGCGGTGCAGAAACATGGGTTACGAAGGCCTTGGAAAAACATTTAAGTTGAAAGGATACACATTGAGTGTGAGTGTGAGTCAGCACTCACATTATTGTACACTCTTCGTATATGTAGTTTATTGTCTGTCACTTCTACTTCAGTCAAGTTGTCA